ATATATATATATATATATATATATATAGCGGCAAACATAACGTCCTTTATAGTTTATTAACTTCGAGTGAACAAAAATAAATTACAATAGCTTAAGAAAATTTTAAATATTGCCACATCAAAACAATCTTATTTGTTAATGTAATTTTCTAAGCGTAGCTTAGATGTGGTCCAAGGGTGAAAATACTCTATAGTATATATCTATATATATATATATATATATATATATATATATATATATATATATATATATATCAAGTGAGGATCGAACTCACTAATCAGTTGTAATTTTTCTAACGTGATCAGATTTCTAATCATTACACCACGTCGGGTTGCTTCGGATGATTTGTTATGCTTAATAAACTATTTAACATGTTCAAAATGATTCTCTTTTACATGTTATATAAACTGTACTTATAAATATAGTTTCTATATCTATAAATCTATATAAATATATATCATAAATATAAAAATAAATATATATATATTATTTATATATCATAAATTTATATAAACAAACTATTTAACATGTTCAAAATGATCCTCTTCATGTTCAATATAACGCTGAATCCTATCAAGAACACTTCTACAAACTATTTTACACATTTCTATATTAATTTCAGAAAAAAAATCTATCAGAAATTGCTTATTTTACTGAGGGAATTGTTTTCAGTTTGAACCTGTGAACAAGATCTTTTAGTACAGACCACAAGCAAAAGGCTGGTGATGTTAGGTCGGATAATCTTGATGGCCACAAGAGTTAGGAGAGGTGGTATTCTTCTTTACTTGATTTATTTGGAATAAATCAAGTAAAGAAGAATGTTGAACAGATTTTTTAGTGACATGAGTACGGAAATCCATTATTTGACTTAGAGACTGAGCAATGTAGAGAAAGACTCATTCTGTATTATTCAAAATTTTGTTTAATATATTACAGTCCTGAGAAGAAGGAGAGCGATAAAACCAAAAGAGCTAACAGACTGCAATAACGAAAGTCGAAAGCACATGACAGAATCAGCTGAGGACTCAAGAGACAGTTCCTTTGCAATTGGGAGATTTCCCCTAATAAACACCAATGCAATGCATATGTACCCTAGAATATATTCGACAAAGAAACGTAGCCTAGAACAGAGAATTCATTGGTACCGATCGAAGATATATATATATATATATATATATATATATATATATATATATATATATATATATATATATATATATATATATAGAGAGAGAGGATATAAAAATATTTGAAATATCGATCTTTATGATACGATGGTTTTACCAGAAACCATTGTAGCATTAAGGTCGGTATTTCAAATATTTATATCATAAATTGTCCTACATTTTCGTCTTTTTAAAAAATTGTATTGAGCAGTCTTTTATTTAGTTGTTCTTTTTGACAAATATTACTTTTTGGCAAAAGATTGAATTTCTAAAGTTTTTTTATACATATATATATATATATATATATATATATATATATATATATATATATATATATATATATATATATATATATATAGTAAGTAAGTGCCATTTTTGTGATACACGCTTGGGCGATCGTATCTCTTTCGAATCATGAAGATTCTTCCGCAGTAGGTCGCCATTTTTTTTCTGCTGTAGACCATTTGCCAACCGATAGTGGTATGGGAAGGTGGAGAGATAGTTTTGTACGTTTCCCAAGGGTATTTGTGTGCAAGTGAATGTAACGAACTCGACTGGGATTCGAACTCAGCTCTCCGATTTCAGAGACTATATCCATTATGCGACACCGCATATCACATAAAAAATCTTTAAAATTAATAATAAAAAATATTACTGATTTTTTCCAACAAATTCAGTACGTACTCACCATACGAATAAAAGACATCTTAATTCGTCTCCTGGTGTATTGACATATTTCTTATTTTGGCAAAGCGCAATGCTAAATGTGGAGAAAATAGAAATGGGAAGACTATGTTGTTCTGGTTTCGTTTAAAAAAAAAATAACAACATCCGAAATGCTAGCTTTTTAACTGGCTCCGGTGGATAGAACGTAATCGCCGCTAGGAAGCATGTTACTATCCGTTTATACTGACACATGGATCAAATAGTGGGTCATCTGTAAGGACAAATCCACTTTGCTATCGATGGAATGTGAAGTAAGATTGTCCAATAACGCAAGAGTCACGAAATTCTTTATCCCGCCTTTTTTTTTCTGGTCGGAATAGAATTTTGCTATTTATTAGTCGTGCTCTTGTAAAGTTTAAATAATCTGCACAGATATGAGCAGACAGCAGCAACCAAGTTCATTTACTTTAAACAAATGGTTATTTCTAAAGATAATATATTTATGTACGACCATAAGAATTTTTCAAAAGTAAAAAAAAAGCGGCGAACAATTGGCCATAAATAAAAAAGAAATAGAATAAAAGGAATAAATAAAAAATCAATAATTACAATATTAACGACAATAACAACAACAATAACAACAGAAGTAATCCAATTTTGTTTAATTTAACAAAAAACTTCAGTTTGCTTTCCTTTCCTTAACACCGAGAGAGTTTCAAATATTTTAAAAATTCTCTAATTGACATTTGGACGCATGACGTTATTTCTCAGCACGATATTTTTGATGTGCATCAATACAGGTTCCTAAATAAGTTCTACACTTGCTTTGATAACATTCCTTAAGGAAGGAAACAGGTTGGCATAAAGGGTTTTCCTCTTGCTATATATATATATATATATATATATATATATATATATATATATTAATATGTTGTAATTGACATCTTTGATAATGGATTATGTAAGCCGAAAGCTTAGATTGTATTAAAAAAATATGGATCAATATTGTGAATTTCTTTCTTCGTTCAATGATAATGTTATTAAACTTATTAGACGTTATGAAAAGAGTTTACATAAAATAAATAGACAACACTTGTCTATATTATTTAATGAAACGTGTATGAATGAAAAGATGCTGCCTAAATGCACCCAATTTAAATTACATGATCTAGCAGCCCACAATATTATTTATACTTGGAATTACGAATGTAGCCTTGTGAAAAGGCAAATTGAAATAGCAAAAGAAAAATGGAACAACCTTAACAGCAACAAACAGACATTTACGATAAACTACAGGATATAACTACCCCGGACCAACTGGAGGAAATTATACATAGACTCACGGAAATTACCAATAAATCTGAAGCTCAACACCGATTTAAAATTATAAAAAAACTGAATACATTATACAAAGGTAATATCACTCTTCCTAACAAAACTGATAAATACATTAACCTTTCCAACTATGAACTAACTAAGCACCAAAAAGAATTACTTAACCTTGGACCTAACTGCCATATATACCGTAAGTACAATCGATTTAAAAAAAAAAAAGAAATTGAGACACTATACCAAAACATAGTTAAACTCCAGGATGAACAATTAATAGAAACTACACTACTTTAAGAAGAATCGAGTTCTCCAGTTACTGGTGTCTTTTTTCTAAAAATAAATACGTCCAAATTCACTTTCATACCTGCAGTGCGCCAATGGCTGAGGGATAAAATCTCCGACTGAAACCAAATCAGTCGGGTTTCGCAATCAGAAGTCTAGCCACACTGATGAGCTGTGAAACAACGAAACAGTCTGTCTGTGGATGACAATCTATATATATATATATATATATATATATATATATAACCTGGCATGGCACAAAGATCAAATAGTGGGTAATCTGTAAGGAAAATAACCATTGCTTATTAAATCTTATTCGCCCGCTATCAATCTTACACTATTTAGAACTGGAGATAGCGTTTTAAGTGTCATGCCCAGGTCAACCGGTGACGCATGGCACGTGACCGACAAAAAGCATACAACACGCACTGAACATACTCCATACAGCATAGACTACTATATAGAAACCGCAAAAAGAAATTCAACATCCAAAAACAACATCCTTGATAATGACTAGAGAACTATCCAAAAGCACTCGGTACAATTAAAACTATGGACAAATACTATATTCTTAAACCTGTAAAACGAAAACAAATGTTAGAATGCAGGAAAAACTCAATAAAAGATTAATTAAAATAAAGGTTGCTACACAAATACATATATATATATATATATATATATATATATATATATATATATATATGATGCAGGTTCTAGTCCTGCCGGTGGTCGCATATTTTCTCTGATAAGATTCTCGAATGTTCAGACTGGTAGACGAAATTAAAATACTGTTTAATAATAAACGGAGCGTCTACTCAAATATGGGTATCCACTAAAACTAACGTTTAAAATTAAAAAAAAATTAAGTCGAATTAAAAAAAAATAAAAATCCATTACTTCTTTAGAGATTACTTTGTTCACGTTTCAGATACGAAACTGGGCAGTTGTGAACTTTCGACGATCTGGCAGAGGAAAATGTACTTTGATCATGACGCTCTTCGTACCCGAGTTGGTTAAAGCACATCGGACATAAGGGCAATTTCTCTTGCAATGGAGGACGCAGGTTCGATCCTGCAGGAGCGCACTTTTTTCCTCTGCTATGATTTCTTGGATTTTCAGACGAAATTAAAATAGTGCTTAAAATGAATAAACGGAGAGTCTACTCAAATATTGGTAACCATTAAAAATAGCGTTTAAAGTAATAAAAATATGTCAGATTAATAAATAAGCCTTTACTTAAATAATACTTTATATGTGCGTGTATGTGTGTGTCAGAGAGAGAAAAAGAGAGAGAGTGTGTGTGTGTGAGAGAAAGAGTTAGAGAAAGAGAGGTCAATGCCGACCGATCTTGGTTATTTACAAACAACTACACAAAAGATATTTCTACATAAACAGGTCTAATAAGCGCAAAGGTTTCTGTTGATTTTTCTTGATACTGAACTATCGAAATCATATTAAATATTGCTTTGAATAATGTCTTGTTTATATTTGCCAATGATACTAAAGAGAAAAAAGACTTTGTCCAGAAGAAAAACCTCAGTATTTTGTGCAAAGGTTTGTTTAATGTTTCTTTATTAAGGTTGGAACTCCATCTCTCTGTTCATGATCGCGCCTTTCATCTCTTTCTTTCTTTTTTTCTCTTCACTTTTTCACACTTCCTCTTTGTCACCCTCTTTTCTTTCTTCTTTTTTTCTCTCTCCTTCAATTTTTCTATTTTCCACTTTTCCTCTGTAGTTTCACTGCTCTTCTCTTTTCCTCTTTCCCCCTCTTTTTTCTCTTCTAGTTTCTTTATCTCTTCTCCTTTTTTTCCTCCTTCTTCGCTTCCGTTCTTCGATTTGTCTCTCTTATTCTTATTTTCTTTCTTTTTCTTTTTTTTCTGTTCCGCCACACTGGTTCCCACATGATTAGCCAAGTTAAGCAACGTCGATCCTGGTCAGTACCTGAATGGGTGACCATTTGAGAATACCAGGTGCTGTAACCTTTGATGTGCGTGTGGTGTAATAAATAATGTCTCGGAATGGTTAAGCGGTGGGCCGAGTTCATATTACTGTTAGGTTCGCTGTATTCACTTACACGCAAATAGCTTTGTTAATGGTATGAATCCGCCTCCTCTCCACATCTATGGGTTAATTAGTAAGACTTACACCACTAAACCATTAACTCTAAAAACATTTTTCTTATTTCAAATAACCTGTAAATGGTTGATAAATGGAAAACGAATCAATCAATCCTTGCTATTTTCCATATTTTTCGGTGATGCTTGCTTAGCGGTCGAAGAGGGGTTAAACGACCTTGCAATAAACAATAACAAAAATAAGATAAAATAAAATCCTGCCAAATAGTAATACTGACAATATTCATCTAAGAAGTTTGAACAACTTAAGATTGTTATGCCGACTACTATTAGGTGTAAACAAACAATACAGAATGTCGTGTCAGCAGAGGATATGATACGCTGACTTCATCCCACGCAGAGGAGAGAGAGAGAGAGAGAGAGAACCTACAAAGACGAATGTGAACTAAACTATGTCCTCTTTTTTCACTCTAATGTAAACCAGATGTATCTCTACTGTTTTGTGTCTCGTCCAGAAAAGGCACTTACCTAACTTTCTTCGGTTAGTTCTGACCAGAAAGTTGTCTAAATTTTGAGAGTAATGCAGACCGGACATTTGTCTAACTTTTTTTAGGCTAATGCAGACCCAGCCTTTGTCGAAGTTTTTGAGTCTAGTGCAGACCGGTTCTATGTTTAATTTTAACTCTTGTGCAAAGCGAACCTTTGTCTAACCTTTGAGTTGAGTACAGACCAGTAAAATGTCTATCTTTTTTTATTAAATTACACACCGGACCCCTGTCTAACATATGAGTCTAGGTCAGATCAAAATGATCAAAAAGATAAAAAAAAGATACCTTATTATTTTAGTCTAGTACAAACCGGAATTTTGTCTAACATTTTGAATCAAGTGTTGAGCGAACCTTCTAGCATTTTTAATCTGGTGTAGATAGTACCTTTGTCTATCTTTTTGAGTATGTTGCAAACTGAACCTTTGTTTAACTTTCTGAGTCTTGTGAAGCCCGGACATAAGTCTAACTTACTGAATACTGTACAGACCGTTTCTATGTGTAGAACAGAACTTGATCTAACCTTTTGAGTCGAGTGCAAACCAGACTTTTGATCTAGCGCAGATCCGTTCTATGTCTAGTTTTTACTTTCAAACAAAACGAAACTTTGTCTAACTTTTCGGGTCTAGGGCAAACGAGAAAAAAATCTAATTTTGTGAGTCTAGTGTAGATCGTAGTGACTTTTTGACCAATTAGATGGATGCATAAAGTGGGAAGAAGCTTTGTCATGAATGAAACGTATACATCAGTATATATTCGACTGTTGCCCGAAGGATTCTCTCCTACTAATCTTATAGTAGGCGGAAGAGTCCAACATAGACATTTTAGAGGGCGGACACCACAACATATATATATATATATATATATATATATATATATATAAGGTGTGTGTGTGTGTGTGTGTGTGTGTGTGTGTGTGTGTGTGAGTGTGTGTGTGTGTGTGTGTGTGTAACGAATGCACAGCCGCAATTTTCGACGGATTTGCACCAAAATTGACATGCCTATGCTCCAAGTTAGTGGAAAGACCAAGACCGATTTTGCATTTCCCAACTCCCATCGATAGTGAAAATAATCGATTTTTTCATGCTTCTATGGCAATTTTCATGTAGTTTTCGGCCATTTTCTACTGGCCAGAGTGAGAGCCTATAGCTGGCTGCCATGAATAAGCAGGAAGATTCTATTGACCAGCGTGAGAGCCAACAGTTGACTGACACGAATGTTAACTAGCATGATAGCATGCAAAAAAAATCGATAGCTGCATTCGTCACAAGTGGGAAAAATTTAAATCTGCAGGGTACTTTACTCCAATTGGCTCATTAGCTTGCTTAAACTCAATCATGATTCTGATTCCGCAGAACTGGGTTGGGTATGAAAAAGTATTTGTTGTTAATATTCTTTTTTCGTTCGGTTTTTCCAGTTACGAGTCCTTTTTAAAGCTGATCGTTTTGTGTTCATTTTGTTTAGTTCTTTTTTCCTAACAGAGTTAATGTTTAGTATAAAGCTTAGAAAAAATTCGCAGTGTGAGATAGGCAAGAAGTAAGGCATGTAGCAACATCAGCACGGCAAAGGGCACTCCTTTAAAGGCAAAGAAGGGCAAAAATATTTTAAGTCAAGTGATAGCGATTGTTGTATGAGTCGTACGATTTTTTCTGATTGTAACATTTCACACATTTTTTATTATCAGTAAACTGACATGGCTTCTTGGGAAAGATAAAGGAATTGTTTCCTATTTCTTTCTCCAAACATAAGAAGAGAAAGGAAAGAATTCTTTCTTTCTCCAGCGGTATTAATGGGAAAAGGAACGTAATGAACGAGGCCGGAATTTGAAATCGACTGCACATCCCGATAAGACTTTATATTTCTCGGATCCTATCAAGGCTGACAATAAGTCCAACATATTCATAGTTTTATGAGTGCCTTGAGGGGTAGTTATATGTGTATGCGTTGTCTATGTGCATATTTATCTATTCTCTTCTCTGCCCCACCCCCAGTATGACATGCCAGGGACAAGAAATTACTAGTAATCATATGTGGCAGGTAAGAATAAATTTGGAGAACATTAGATCTGAGCCGCTATCCATTACACCAAGCACACATATCACCCGATTCACAACAGTCTTCTCCGGTTGTTTGGACAGGAGTAGAGGTTAATCCCGTGGTCCCTATTTAGGTTCTTTCTAAAGTCTTTCCTTTCGTCTTAGCGGCATTATCGCCTTGCTTGGGGTGAACTGATCTTGAAAAATTCTCCCTCCTGATAGTTGGATCCTCCCTGAAATTTTCGTACTGGTGGTTACAAAAATCATAACGTGATTTGACAGGGACCGGTTCTTAATATCCTGAGATTAATCTTCACTGTTCTTTCGTTAATTTGATCATGTGAAAAACTAAGCTTCGTATATTTCTTTTTATGATCAATGTTGGCCAAACTCGCTGCTCTGATCATTTCTGAAAACACATACACACGCACGCGCGAACACACACACACACACACACACACACACACACACACACACACACACACACATATATATATATATATATATATATATATATATATATATATATATAAGGTTAATGGTCAGAGTTGAAACCGACCAGGAAACATTAGTATTAAAAAGTGCTCAATACACGTATGAAAAAAATAAAAATAACAAGTAGAACTTTTGACTCATATATATATATATTATATATTAAGTTTTAAGTTATATAGAAAGGTGTGTGTGCCTATATGTGTATATATATGTGTGTGTGCGTATCTATGTGTGTGTGTCTCTCTCTCTATATATATATATGTTGAAGACCACATTCACAAACATTAAAATAAAAACGGAAAAGAAAGGGAAAAAGAAAAAAATATATATACATGTATTGTCAAATGACCGGATGTAGTGTAGCGTCTTGTCGAACGTAATTTCAATGAAGAAATGAATTGAATAAACATATATATTTTTTCTTTCTCAATAATTTTGTAGTTTTTAAACTTAATAGTGATTAAATTTAGTTTTAAAATTGCCAGTTTTTAATTTTAATATTAAATTTTATCATATAATTTTATAATTATTAGTTAGTATAAATTATTTTAATATTACACGTATTTAAAGATCTGAATAGCTATTATAGCATGATTTCGTTGTCAAGCTTTTGAATCTTTCTGTACTTCGTTTTTGATTGGTTATTCTAGCTTTTGTAACAATGTTTCCCCCTAGTGTAGGATCGTTAATTAATCTGAAACTTTTAAAACCATTTATTTTCTTTTCAACATCATCACTTGATAAGACACAGAGTGTGTTGAAACAAAATGGCTATTTTTGTAGTGATTTTATAACATACTTATGTTATAATTTTTTATAAAAAATAATTATATATATATATATATATATATATGTGTGTGTGTGTGTGTGTGTGTGTGTGTGTGTGTGTGTGTGTGCCTGAATAATATGACATGAAAAAATCGATATCATATAAATTTTGAATAAAATAGGAAAAAAATGACGCGTTTCCTTCCGAGATATAACTTCTACAGACTAATAACGGTTTTGTCGTTGATATATATAGAAACGTCAAATTTACGTTCCTGATTAGAAAACATTTATTCTGTCCTAACACAACTACCGCTGATATAATGTGTGATAATTAAAAATAACATCCATAAAAATAAAAACAAAATCTATAAGTCGTATCATATCAGCTAAATTAAACATTTAGATAAACTAGTCGTCAAAATTTCAATTTAAAGCTGAATGTCTGTAAATCTTTAATGTTTCGATATAAATTTTCTGCTATCACTTCTCTGTTCACACAGATTGTTTGAAATATTGTAAACATATCACGCGTACTGATTTGTGAGGCAAGCAAATTTTCCATCCTGAAAAATTATCATTTTTTTTTGTCTTTAAACAGTATTTAACTACACAGTAAATATCATCCATGACAATGCTTGAGTTCCGATAAATGACTTTGTAATGACGACTTCCTTTCCTTTTCAAGAAATTAAAGGAAAATCTCCCCAGAAGCAAGGATTTTAATACTCATTTGATATATTTGGATAAATTAATGCGACTCTCAGTAAGAAGAGAGAATATATAGTTATCGGCGACAGAAATGGCCCACGATGCAAACTACGACTTGGAGATGTCAACATCAAACAAATACAGAAGTTTAAATATCTGGGAAGTTTTTTTTTTAGCAGAGGATGGAAAGTACAACACCGGACTCGCC